ATATATATATATATATATATATGTCTACTCAACCGATTGTGTGAAAATGCAACCACCTGTCGTCTATTACTTAACACGAAAAAGTGTGGAAACAATTCATATTTCTGATTTACCGGTAGTCTCGAGAACCTGCTAGAAACGAAAAATAAACGGGCGGTCGTGGGCAAGTTAAGGCTGACAACGTGCACTTCGGTGGTGGATTCGAGATGTCGAGGTGGAAGTGTGGACAGAAAAAGAGGTTGTAAGGAAGGAGGAAGAAGTTGATACCGGCTGGGGTAATCTAGTCGCCAGATTCGTGTGTACATTTCCTTGAACGACTCGTTTTGACGCCACGAGGCCCTCGGAAGCCAACTACTCTTTTCTATCGGCCATAGGTTCGGCTGGTTCGAATTTCTAAAGTCATACATCTTCGCCGGTATGAAGACCAAAATGGTGTTGCCATGAACATGAACACATGAACACACAAACAAGCTAGAAGCTTCTCGAAAAGTGTTAGCAGCAACACAAACCTGGAAGGGCAATCCATTCACTTATTCTGCCCAAAGTAGTTGTTGAACATCATATTTCTCAACAATGCATATCTGTCTGTAATATACATTATCGATTATATTATTACCCTATATTATATGTTTTTATTACAATCTTATATTTCATTATGTCTAATAATGAGGAGGGCAATAACGACACAAAACTGTTTCGAACACTTTCGTGAATTCCTGTTTTCCTATCCACCCAAGGCATCAACCGAACCAATTCTTCCAGACTTCCTTTTCTCCTGTTGCTAAGGTGCAAAATAGTTCTACCATAATTTAACTCATCACTTGGTAACCGGGACTACTTTTAATGGAGGCATGCGGTTATCGGCACAACTTGGAGACGGATACATTTTAATGGGTAGTAAACCTTGCGTTTGCTTATGCAATCAGCCAGTTAAGGTGAGATATGTTTTATTCATAACTAAGCTGGTCAATTGTATGATTGAATATTTATTTTTTTCACTTTTTCCCTCATCACTTTTGGGTGCTGATCCCACGTTGGGCCTAAAGCCCATCTGCCGCACATCAAAACTCGACAGAAAAGTATCTTTCTCTGCCGAATCTTCATCCACCAACCTTATCCAATCGCAGGGTTGCTTTGGTCAAATTTCCCACATTCCCAACTTTCCAATTAAAATGGAATAAATGCATCAAAGCAAGCTAATCTTCACAATCGGGCCCGGCGGTTTTCCATCTCTTCTCACGTCGTTTGGCACACTCTTCCATACACATCACATCCTCCCCATCGTTGGGTGGGAATCTGCCAGGTCTCAGTCAATCTTGCCCTTGGCCGATTGGTCCTTTTTCAGTGCACAATCACTACTTAATGCACTCAATCAGGCAATAGTCACTCTGCCACAGTGTTTCCGGACGGATATGAAGAAAAACTGGGCTTCCAAGAATTCCCTGATGAAATATTGCCCATTTCGAGGGAAAAGTTGGTCGGCAGGAATTCGTGAACTGTGCGGAAAAGTCCTTGGCTCACCGATAAACGTGGGCTACACCTTCGTCTGTTCATCGAAATCGCAGGACGATGATCAGAGGATCTTTTGGTCCAATTCAACAGTCTTCCCTACGCGGAAATCCCACTTCGCTTTTCGGTGAGACCGCCCAATGCGTCTCGATTGCATCGACTACTCAGACTCCTCGTTGTCGTAACTTGATCTTGTTGCCAGGACGACTGAGTAGAACGCACCAAGTCGAAGTCGTCTGCCCTAATAGTTGTCATGACACCCAGCCTCAGTCAGTGCTGCCGATCTCGGCACCAACATTTGCTACAAAATTGCACACATTTCGACGAGTCGAATGTACACAAGTGAGAAGTTGTGATGTGGCGCCAGTGGGACAAGAGGGTAAAGAGTAGATAGATAGATAGATAGATAGTGTACCATTTTCTGCGACTGATGATGCCGGCAAGGCGTTTGAGAATGTACCAATTCCACTGTCTGATGCTGGGTGTTATGACAACTGCGAGGGCAGACGACTTCGACTCGGTGCGTTCTGCTAAGTCGCCCTGACAACCAAACCGAGTTGCGACAACGAGGTCAAAAGTAGACTGCGACCATACCACAGGCGACACCATCTTTGTCTTCATATCTTCATTTATTCACAGTCATCTTTACTTTTCCACTTAGACCGTCGAGAATTGAGTTCAGGTCTGTCATGCTGTCGGAAGTCATTTGTGAACATATGAACTTACCGGTTGACTCATCAACCAATAGGCACACCCTTTGAGGTCATACAAGTTGATTGGTACTTGCACGGGTTCATGCTATTCATTGTATCGTTAGGACAGAAATGGATTATTCAACTCTTCAACTGACTGTGGAATCCGTGCAATAGTGGTTTCCTGCATTTGTTCACTTTCATGCACATGCTGTTCCCTTTGTCTGTTCACAAAAGAAATGGCTTTTATGAATTTCATTTCCAGTCATAATTTGGAAGTTAATGCTTATTAAAAGTTGGCCAAAGGGTTGGAATGGCTAAAAAGTGTACTCTTACAAAAAACGAATACTTTGACCCTAATTGGTAATAATATCTCTTTGCTGAGGAGTACATTTTCAGACAAAGAATTTTGTTAGTCAAAGATAGAAAAGCGGAGACTATTTTCTCACGTCCCAATTTTGCTGTCATGCTTTCTTTCCAAAAAGATGGGCTTGGCTTGGTCATGCTACTTTTACTCGTCTCTGTGTATGTGTGTGTGTGTGTGTCTGGACACAATAAGCGGACTTGAACTAGTTGTGGCCTTTGAATAGGATAATGAAGATAACGAAAGAGGTCTGAAGAG